AGTTAACAAGAAATAAATTATAAGTTTTATGTTTGCAAAATGTTAAGAATGTTTATTATTGTTATTAAATGTATTTTGAATACAATATATATAATCTGTCTGGAATCTGTCCTTTTTCTCAAGGCATTTTCATGTTCTTTATATAAGAAAATACAATTAAAGAAAATCTATGGTAATTAAGATACTACTGACAATAATAATAGAGCTAACAGATATGCTAATTATATTAGATATGATATAAATGTTAATAGTAATAAAAATAATAAAAATATAATAAATATTAAGTATGTTCTATTTGACAGATATGACAGATTTGGCAGATTTGTCTTATGCAACTGTCCTGTCAGTTTCTGCCAGTTTTAGCATGATAAATTGTCGAGTTGATTCAAGTATAACAGATACCTATAGGACTTAGAGAAAATCCTAAAGTCAGAAACTCTAACGTGAAGAATCAGCTGCTGCAGTCTTTCTGAGAAAGTCTTGTAACGCATTGTTGAAAAGTTTTTTTAGCCTTTCTTAATAGATATTTTTTATGTGCATGAGTATGTTAAGCTTCCTCTTCAGCTATTAGATGTGACTCACATTCTTCATTAGTCTTTTCGGCCACTTTACTTTGCTTCTTACATTTTCTATTTTGATCATGTGCCAAAAACACCTCATAAGCTTCTTCAGCCACTTTCTACTTCTCACTTACATCACATTCCTTATTCTCTTTATTATCATTCTTTTTAGTGAATTCACAAAAATTATTTATGAATTATGCATATAAAGTCTATTTTACATTATTTATTGTGTTTATTATTTGATATTTAAAGACAAGAAAATGAAAGAAATGCATCATATTATTAGGTATCTTACCATATTGTAACTATTGTAACTATTAGACATTGTGTGAATTTTATTAAATGAATTAAGCGAAATATTTTAAGTATGAAAGAATATTTAGAAAATATATGCAAATGATATAATGTGATTTGATATGTTTGATAAAAAGACGCCAAGCGAGAAACACTTTTATATTATATGATTTTAAATAAAGCATTTATTTTTACTGTATTAATGTAATTTAACGATCTGTCACATTTTTTGTGTTACAAACTAAAATTAACTTTTTATTATACTGTATCTCTATTATAAAAATAAAATACATGTATATTCTACCTATTGACTTTTCTACCCGTTGGTTTTTTTAATCTTAACACTATATATGAAAACTAAGGTTTATACGTGATGGACTTAAATGGTTCTATTTCTCTAATTTATATAAATATTTCTATATATCAGAAATAAACTCAAATAGTACAGAGCGTGATAAAAATATTCGCACACTTTTTTACTCAATATAAAACTTATAATTTTTTTGCATTAACAATAAACGATCAATTAATATTTTATTTAAAGCTGATTAAGGTCTACATTTTGTACTAAGTAACTA